TGATCCTTACTAGTTAGTGACTTGAATATAACTAGGTATATAACCAGTTATAGTTTATTCGCTAAAAAATTGATGCGTTTCGCCGGTAAGGGCTTAGGTAAGTATTATTTTCAATTGTTTCGATTTCTTTATCAGAAGAGCTCTTGTTCGTGAAAACTTTGCTTTGTACTGGATTAAATGATTTAGTCTCTCTCATATTCGATAAGATGTAATATTAATAAAATTGAATGTGAGTGCTGCCAAGGGAAAATTAAGACTTTCAAATTTATCATTTACCAGATTCAGCCTGACGGCGACATGTATTATCGTTATGAGTAATTACTATCGTTATCATATATGCCACTGATCAGTTTTTCAGAGGTTAGATCTGGTAAATAATAACACTTGAAGGCTCAAAATCACATTTTCCTTAACAGCATTCATATAAGATCATGAATCCTTTTGTATTTAACATTAATGGGACTGACTGCTTTCATATGGGGGCTTTTCAATAGAAAGGGGGGAGTAAAAGTTTTTTAAACTTTCAATTAAAATATCTCAACAACTATTAACCTAAATTTAATAATTTTTTTTTTATTTTAATTCTATAAAATTATAAAATTAAAAAAATAAATTTTTATTAGATTTAATTTAGTAGTTATTAAGATATTTTAATTTAAAATTTAAAAAAAATTACTAAAAACTTTTTCCCCTATTCTATTGAAAAGCGCCCATATACGTATCTCAAGCCACGGGTAATTCATTTATCGAGAGTCAACTAACAATGTAAGCCTATATAAGTAATCGATTTTTATTAAAAGGTTTCGATTTTTTTAAGAACTATTAGGAATTTTCTATTCAATTTCAAAAAAAGCAAGCGTGGTTAAAAGGTTTATTATTTATGATTCGAATTTTATTTGGATTTAAAAAACATTCATTTTATAATTGTTTTTCATTTATTGTGCACAAATTCGATATAACCGTTAGACCTACTTTAACAATATCACTTTATTAATAGATCCCGCTTAGTCGCTAAATAAAATAAAGTTTTAATAATTTATAGTATTGATTTAACAAATTTTATTGTTTTTAAATTTTACTCTATTGACTAAGAATGGACGTATAATTAGATTTTGGTTATTATCCCAATTGAAGTAGAAATCCCGATTTCCAAACCCAAACTATGTAGTAATGTCATAATTCAAAAAAAGGTTTGGGTCGCAACCCTATTTACAAAGCATTCTTTCTTGTTAAATCGTCAAATCTTTTAAATGTATAACCGACGAAAGCTAAGTCCTTTTGATTAAATTCACCAGTAGCACTTGAGGTGCGTTCTGTACAAAGCAATAACAAATTATTATAACATATTAATACGTATAACATGATATCATAATTGATATTATGGCGTACCAGTTGTCTGAGGTGTGTCAGGAATCTTTTCCAGATCTTCTGTAGGGAAGTAGCTAGTATCAGTGATTGATTTCAGATTAGGAACGAATGGTGCCTCAATATTACGAATAGTCTCCCAATCTACTCCAGCAAAAAATGGATGTGATTTAATTTCATCGGCACCACGTTGACCTAGACGTTGTTCAGGCGCACAGATAAGACTATGTGCGATAGAGTCATTTTGTGAATATATGGAAATAATAAGTTCTCTCATGTACGTAAAAAAAAAATCTGATGTACCGCCGAATTAAATCCTCAGCCTCAGGGCTC